AAGTAGGCAAAGTACTATGGAAATCTCAAAAGTATTAATTAATAATAGCTTTAAACAAATAATAGTTTACATACGTTAGAAAAAACGCAATTATTATGTCTGCGATAGTGTTGACGTAAAAAGGATATCCCACAATGACACTAATAATCACGGCTTCTATATTGTTGTGCCTTTCTATATTCCAAATAGAATCAGCAACAAATAATATAAGAATCATTATAAAATATATGATTAACATCGGTTTTATCAAGTTTTGAATTGTACGGTATTCCTTAGATGTTCCAAGTTTTTCCAGTGTATCATCCACAAGACAAAGTTTTTTTATACACATATGGATTTTCTAAAGATATTATTGACAAAAAGAATATATAAGTCGTATCAGTCTTATAAAAATATACCAAAAATACGTATGTACGTAATAATATATTTGACAATAAAATATTAATTTTGATAAGAATAAATCTCATTAAATAAGAGAATTTCTACATTCAATTAAAATAGATTTTATAGTATGCTCACATATAGTATCTTATAGAAAAAAATCATAAAATATCTAATATAAATATTCACTCCAAATGAACGTGCGCGTCAAACTCACACAAAAATAACAATTGCATCGATCCGACTATAAAGGATGTAATTAAAATAAGATAACAAATTTCGGAACCAAGCTCCCCACAACAAAATATGAAAAAAAAAGTTCATGTAAATGTACATTCGCAAATACACTGTTACTGAGATGTAACTCAAAATGTTTAAGTATATTATGTATAATTCCCCAATCTAAGATTCTTATCCCCTCTAGATTTTTCTCTATGGGGACACTTAAAGTCCTTAGATTATGAAGTTCCGATCGCTAATGAAGATATGCTATGCCAACACATCTTTGATGCTTATAATATCATTCACAATTGCCCCAGGATCTTTGAAAAAGTGCGACAGTCCCATAATCCGACGTACATCAAATGTGTATTGAATTAAATGGAAGACACTTCAAACATTGTTGTAATTAAAAATTGAAAATAGATTGTAATGAATAATAATAAATATTGTTTTTTTATTTTTCTCTATTAATAAACATTTTGAGTAACAGTGAGTTTGCGGATATATGTTTATATGAATTTTTTTTCATGTTTGATGTGGAGAGTTCGGCCCCGAAGTTTGTTACTTTACATTAGCCACACCCTGTATATCTATGAAGAAGCCTTTTAGCATCTCTTCTACCTTGGAAAATTGTCGAATATAATCTTAAAAAATCAAGTTTCCCATGAACGCATTTATTCAAAGAATTCGAATATTATAGATACTCGGGTACCTAGATGCTGAACAATGTTAATATTCTGGGTGCTAACATAAGGATTAATTAGATTTATTCTCATTGGTCTAAAATCTTATTAATTAATAAGAATTTTGTTAAAACTTTTTATATTATCTGATAGATCGAATACAAAATTTCTTAAATAACATTTTGTAAAACTTCTTCAAAAATTAATATATTTGTAAATAAAATTTTTTAAAAACATAAGACGTGAATATAAAATTAGAATTGTGTTTAGTTCAAATTTCAATTAAATTTGACCTTTCTAAATAAATAAAAATAAAACTAATTCCAAAATGACAAGTAATATTATTGTGCATTATCTTTGTATTAGATTAAAAATAAAACGATTTAATATTTATGAATAAAAAAATATACCTGATGTTTGCGACCGGTGATAGTTACAGATATTATCGTCACAAGAATATTTGCACTTATCGATGTAAAAGTCAAAGGATTATTAAATATACTCATTGGCGAAAATTTGTGTATCATAACATGAAATGCAAAGACATAGAAACTCCATACCATTATTATGTAAAAGACACTTAAGCGAAAGCTCCAATAACTAAGGGGATATCTGAAGTTTCCTAAACCAAGAATAAAAGCAACTATGGCCAAAGGTCGAAAAGCGTTTTGTATAGTATCAACCATGATCGTAACTGTTGCAATTTCAAGTACTAACTATTAGATGACAAGTTGAAAGTCACGTAATATACAAAAGGTATTCATCACGATTTTTTATGAGATAATATTTGATTAGATCAACTCATTATAATGTCGTTGAATCATTAGCATGCATGTATATAGATACATGCGCACGCTATCATTTAATAATTTAACGATATTGTAATGAGTTGAGCTAATCAAATTTTATCTCATATAATCGTGATAAATGTGCCTTTTGTATATTACGTGACTAAAAATTTTATTAAAATTTAAAAAATTACATACTTTTTTAACCACAAATTTTTTTATTAGTTTTTAATTTTCTTTTACAGCTTTTTCTAATATCTTAATAATCAAAATATTGTAACGAAACGATAAAAAATTCACTTATAGAATTTAATAAATATTAATTTTATAATTTCGAAATATATATATATATATATATATTACCTTATTGTTAGACAAAATATATATCTGTGTTTAATGCAACATACATTGCATATCCCTAAAGCCAGAGACACACAATATATTTTTTGATCGAAATGATCTGAATTGCTTGCGTTTTAGAAAATTATTAAAAATTCTGCGTTCTGGTACAATTCTAATAGTTTTCCAGCAGGAAAACGTGCATTGTGTGTCGTAGGCTTAACGATCATGTACAATATCGATTATACATATGTATAGGGATGTACTGGATAATAAATTTATCAAATAACCGGATAATACGGCATTTATTACTACTGAATAATTAAATAATTAGATTTTATCATCTGGTAATTTATAATGATATTATTACCTTTAAAAGCTATAGAGCAAAGATTCGCGACGTAAATGACAAATAGATTTCTTCATGAAAGTACTTGTCGAATTTTCCAATATGTATGTATATATACGCCCGTTATCAATTTTTAGAACGGGAGACAAATAAATAAATCCATATTTTTTCTATTGTCTTAATTTTTGCCTCCTATAGAAGTTTCGTTTATGCTTCTGTTACTCTACTGTCTAAATTCTTTCGAGTGGAAAAATGAATAAAAAAGTGAAAATTGAGTCAGTTTGAAAAAGAGACTAAAAAGGATAGCTCAATTTTCAATTAAGAGTGAGATTTTACTTCAGAGTAACAATTCTAAAAGTTTTAAAGAGTACTCTTATATTCGACTGCTTCGATTTTTATTTTCGCCAGGGTATCTACAAAATACAATATGCAAAATATAATACATAAATAAAATTACGTTCTCTTTATGTATTATATTTCCTCTACGAACGGCATAGTCTTGTTAAGAAAAAAAATTTTTCTTTACTACTTTGCTTTAAAAAAATGACTTGTAATTGTGAAGAATCTATCGATATTTACACTATCGATATATTCCGATGTATAACCTTCTGGCAGGTAGAAGTACTATGTTTCAGTATTCAATGCTATATATATTTCCAGCTTCAGTTCTTAAGTATAATATTTGCAGAGATCTCGAATTTATCCCGAATTTAATTTTAAGGTAAACATTGCAAATTTGCAACACTTGCCCTTAAAAAATTCAAGGAATTCTAAAGTGACAGAATTATCAATACTACAGGTTAGGAAGTTTTCCAAATAGACTTATAGATTGCAAAATCCTTTTACACAATTGAAATATTCATTAAAAAAGTGCGGAGTTGATTTAATGAAAATCTCGTACTTTTTGTGAAATGAACATTTGAAAGGTGAATCGATTTCGAGATTTCTAAAAAAGCTGCTTATGCCATACATCATAATGATATCGTTGGAATTCATACTGAAACAACCGAATTTTTTCTTTACAAATGCTGAAACAGCGTCTTTACACGTTTTCTCTGATTACAGCGCAAGAGACATTTATCATCTCTCAAAGAAAATTTTTAGGAAGGCTCAGTTAAAAACTGATTAGAAATTCGTCAAAAACTGATTTATAACTGTCTAGAATCTAATTAATATTTACTGAAAAATTACCGAATTAACCATATTGTAGTCAAAGTGATAAAATTTTTCTTAAAATAAAATCACAGAATTATATAAACTAAATACAGATTTAAAAAATTGCTAAAAAAAACTTATAAAGAAAGAAGAGAGATTACGCTTTCCAAGATGGTTATATAACGTGCATTTTGACGCAAAGGTTCGAACATTGTATATAAACAAGGATTCTTTTCCTCTACAATTAATCTGTCTATAGTCAGGGAAAAAATAACAATAACGATAACTAAAAAACTCATAATCCACCACTGACAAATCAAATTAAAATAAATATGATCCAATAGAACTGTGTCGCTCTAAAAATTTAATACTTTGCTTCACCTCTTTGAATATATCACTTATTCAGAGAGAGAGAGAGAGAGAGAGAGAGAGAGAGAGAGAGAGAGAGAGAGAGAGTACGTTTGTTTAGATAACTTTTTCATCTAAAATTTGGTCCAATCAAAATCACGGCGATATTTGATTTCTTCTAATATTATAATATTTCTGAACACATCAATTTTGTTCCTTAAGTATAAAGTAACGTTGAGTGATATCAATAATCCAATATATGTTAAGTCACAATTTAAACAATTTATCATATAAACTACATTAGACTATTTTTTTAAAACGTTAATAGAAAGGGATGATTAGTTTTCTATAAATATGTATAAAGTAAATATATTCCCTTTGTATTTATGGAAATTTAATTACACCACGTAATCTGCTAATATAAACTAAATAACACAAATTTTATTTTCCGGTTGAAGATAAAATCGATGATTTTTAAGCTATAACCTTTTTTATAAAGTTAATAAAGTTAATAATAAATTTAATAAAGTTAATAAAGAAGTAAAGTCCCTGAAATACAAAATTAAAAATTACTTTATCAAATTCTTGTTAAATATATTCTTTTCATTTAATATATTTTACTTAATTGTATATATTTGAACAAAAAATTTTTTTAATTCTGGTACATTTCATTAAGCTAAAAGAGCAAGGAGCAAAATAGAGATACATCATTCTCTCTCTCATTAACAGCTATCGGATCGCCGGTCAATTTCAATAAAATTGTTTTTGTGTGTTTCGGACATTGTTGATCATATTTGCCATTGCCCCTAAAAAAGCCCGAGGATGGAAGAATGTCCTTCAACAAATCTCATTCATAAGGAAAGACGTCTCATTGCGATGGAGAAACTTTACAAACGGATGAGACGATTTCTCACAGAATTAGACTGGTTAAAAGAAGAAGTAAAAAGCAATTTTTGATTTATTTTTTAGCAAAAAATTCCTTTTATTACCTTAATTTAATTTTTTTCATATATTTTTCGTGTTCAAATTCTAACATTTTAATAATTAATTTTCTGTTACAATAAAATTCACTTACAGGATTTAATAAGAGCTTCTTTCGAATATTTCCGTATGTTAGCTTGGATTAACTATAGATGTAACAAATATTACACGATATCCAATTGTTAAAGCAATTAATATTATATGGTAACATATCCCACAGAATGCACATAATATTTATAAAATATTTACAAAAATTTGTAAATATTTATGACTTATTTTAAATATTTTGTAAATATTTTTGTGGTTTAGTTTGCACCATTATAAATATTTATTATAAATGTTACGAAATATTTATTGTAAATGTTATAGTAAACGCTATGAAAATACTTAGATTATAATAGACATTATAATCTAAGTAAAAAATACTAAGAATATTTATTTATATTTATCGTAAATATTACATGAAATATTTATTCTACATTTTAATAATATTTCGAATAAAGATTTATATAAAATATTTTTATGAAATTTCAAAAAATAAATAGTTATTGTGATATTCTGGGATATTAATCGCTTTAATAATTGGTTATCGTGTAATATGATTATACGTTTAATTATTCTTTGAATCATAAATCTATACTTTGAATAAATCTATACTATATAATTAAAAATTATAAATTTTTTAAACATGTTGAAATGAAACAAATAATATATATTTATAAAATAAATATTATATAAAGCATTTGTTTTACTAACAACAGGTGGCAAAGAGAAATCAGTGCTTATATAATTGTTTCCTTCCACAAAGATCTACTTATTTAATCAAATATACATAAACGTATATTTATTACATAACGTATATTTCAAATTTTTCAAATTTGTTTTACTTTTTAAGTCAATTTCCTTCATAAAATATCATAACTGGAATTTATATGGATATGAAAAAATATTGTTTTCTGCGAGTTTCAAATAAATGAGTAAGCTTGTAATTTAAATAATTGAGTACTGTCTCTTACTTAATTGTGCAGATAAAAAAACAAAAAAAATGGCAATTGCTCCAAAAACAAAGAAAGATTACAATTTCTTCAAGATCGAGGAAAAAGTATAAGAAACGTGAGAAGAAGAATTCTAAAAAGAAGACAAAACGCGAATCTCTGATAGAGGAGATAAAGAAAAAATATGAGGAACAACCTCATAAAAGCAAACAGTTACAGAAGGATATCAACGATTATATCGATGGAGTGAAAACGCCCGAAGGTTTACGCCGAGTCGTAGACAGCCGCTCTACCAAGAAACTTTGCCCATCTTTTGAATTAACAGGTGTTTGCCGGTTAGTGTAGATAGAGATATTCACGATTTGTCATTATCATGATTTGTCAATCATTCATAACAATATTAAAATTCTTAATATATTGAAGTAATTTAATTAATTCTTTTTATCGCATGTTTTGCAAGTTTCCAAAAAAATTTTCCACTTGAAAATTAAAAAATTATGTTAAGAGTTATTTGCATTAAAAATGAAACTGCACTAAATCAAAATAAATTAAAATTTAAGAACAAAACATTTTACTTAAAATTAACTTCAATTAAAATTAAATTTTTATTTTGATTTCCAAAATGTATTCATTCGTAATTGATTTCAGGCATAAACACAAGTGCTCTAAAAATCATCGTAAAATCTTTCTGAGCAACGTGATTTTGATAACAGGATTGTATTTCAATTTTTCTGTCGAGAAAAACCCGACGGAAAGCAACACTGATGTTGCAATCGAATTCCAGAATTCAGGAACGTGGCATTATTTTTGCAAATTCCATGATAAAATAATAACTAAACTCAAATCGTTCGGCGAAATTAAAACCCTTAAATGTTGCTGGAAGAATAAGAAACATTGGCGCGCTAATTTGTACATTCAGTATGATACAAAAAGAGCAGCAGCTAAAGCTTGGAAAAATCTAAAGGGACGTTGTTACAATGACAAGCCGCTCGTTTGTAAATTCGTCAACGTGAAATCCTTGAGATCCGTTGTCTGCAGTCTAACCAATTGTCCGAAAAGCAATGAAAAATGCAATTATCTTCACACCTCTAAAATTCCGCACAATAAGTACATCAAAAATTTCCAACAGAAAAAAAGCAATTTGATTGACGACAAGCTAAACAAACATAGGTTTGTGTTACTTTATTTACGCTATATACATATAAAAAGCTATATATAAAAATATCTTATATACAGAACAATTTTGGCGAAAATAAAAATCAGATTGTAAGTTCAATCCATAAAGAGACAATGACAAAAACGTAAATTTCATTTTATTTAACGTAAATAGTAAATCATAAAAGAAACTTTTGCTTCTTAAAATGCTTCTTTTATATTCCCTTCTTCGCATTTATGTTATCCAGAAATTTTATTTGTTTTTGTTGATCTCCTTTATATTTGACTTATACTCTGATTTTTATTTCCATCAGAAAATAATATTGCGAAAAAATAAGAATTATGTAGTGTAATAAAGCAAAAAATAAATTAAAAATAAATTAATAAAAGCTTCTTTAACATTATTTAATATTTTTCATTTATTTGTTAAAAGTAAATTAAAATAGAAAGAATCCGATCAAGATAATAATTTAAAAAATCGCAAATAAAGGTGATCTTCCAAATCACTTATGACTGAATTGGATGGCAAGACAAGTTCGAAGACAAAATATTCTCATTCTACGAAAAAGGAACAATCGTAAAAATTCCCGCACGATATAACCAATGATATAAAAAATCATACAAGTACAGAAAGTTTTAAATTAAAATGTCATAAACGGAATGTTATTAATTAAATCGTAAGAGAATCCGTAACAATTACAAATTAAAAACATGGATCTGAGGATGGCCCTTCTAAAAAAATTTCGAAAGAAAGATAAGAGGCAGTCATGAAAGTTAATAGAAGAAAGCATTCGCGGGCGCGAGAACATCAGAAGAGATACATGTAGATCTGACCAGGCAAAAATATAAACACATAGGTACCCCAAAAAACATTCAAAGCTTATGCATTCTGTAATGACGAGTCAAGTGTTTGTAATCCTAAAAGTGATCCTGCCCGACCGATTCAGTTTTGTCTGCAAGAATGTCCAATATAAATGAAATAACGTAGATTAGATATTTTTGTTTGAGAAATACACGTAAATAATGCATTTAATCATTCCTATTATCTCGCGATAAAGACACATCCGTGTTGGCAATCACATGTCTGAATCTTAAAACAATATAACCATTCCATAATCATCAGATCAGATTATTCTTCTTCGCAGTTATTTAATCGAAGTATTGTTTCGCATTTCCTCTAATTGTAAAAGTATTGCAATAAATGACCGTATTATCAATGTTGATGGAAAATATCGTACGTGATTATGAAAAGAAACGGCAGATTTTTTACTCAATCGCATTTCAATATGTATCTGACCTGCTTTAAAGGGATAATTGAAATATTCTTTGTTGCATAATTGCAAAGAGAATAACGTATTAAATATTGCTTGATCTTTACTCGGAAGAATTCATTTTTGAAGATTTGAAGAAGCCGTTCACAAAAAATGCAAGCAAATATATAATTAGTGATTGAATTATTCAACCCTTTGATCATTTTAGTTATTGCAATAAACGCACTTGATCAATAATATTTATAATTGTCACCCAACCACCTTATTTAAAACACATATTTGTAATTACTTAATGCTTATCGACTGTTTTACAAAGAAAATTCTATATTTTTAAGAAACATAATCTTGATTATGATCAAGAAATAAAACATAAATAATTTTTGAAAGTGATTATATCTAAACAAACGTCACTCGATTGATTAGAATCTAGCTAGTAATCAGAATTCTTGGTCACTTTCACTTTCTGTCTAATTTCTAATTCGGTTTTTATGCGGATTGTTCATTAATGTTAATTATAATAATTCTTTTGATGCAGATTTATAGCTCTCTCTTTTGCTTTATACTTGCAGTGAAATAATCAAATAATACAACGTATAATATTAGGAAAAATTATAATTAAAGTGTATTCGATTACATATAAAATTAATATCAAATATTTGATAATAATGTGTATAAACATATAGTATCTTTATCTTTAATAAAATTAATTAATTAAAAAGGTCTCATAAATACAGAATGACTACAAAATTCATACAAAATTTAGTTGCATTAGATGCCAATGTTAAAAGTTGTGTTCACAAAATCTTTGTTGAATACTTATGCTTTTTATTTAATTTCAGAATAGTTTCTGCTTAAATTCAATTTTTATTTTACTATGTATGTTACGTAAATTGTGTATTTAGCTAAAATGATACCTTTTATCGTGCGGTAAAGATATACACAAATATCTATGCTTCGAGCAATCGCATGTTCTAGTCGATAGACATTCTTCAATTATCAGATAATTTTTGCTGTTTCTTATTATCGGAATATTGTTTCCCGTTTCCTCTAAGAGTAGCTAATGCAATAAAGCGTTATCGATCATTAATGAAAGATATCGTATCAATTTGTACTGCTAGCCATAACTAAAAGAAATGACAAGTAATAATCAGTCGCATTTCAGCGTTAATCTAGTGTACTTTAAAGTATACGAAACTTTCTCTGCTATACAATTGCGAACGAGAAACGGATTATGATCGCATTAAAAGTATTGTTCGTTCTGTACTCAGTCCATCCCCTCGTCAATGGGGTAGGTTTTCGGGGATTTACTTTTAAAGGTTTGGAGGAGCCAGAATCATTAACAAAAGATGCAGGCAAGAATATAGTTGAGGGTTGGATCACTCAGCCTCTCGATCATTTCAATCATCGCGACAATCGCACTTGGTCGATGGTAATTATCATCGTCGCTCAAAAAGCTTGTTTTACTTAAAACGTTAATTTTTTTTATTAACACTAATCGATTGCTGTATAGCGTTACAAAGAAAACTCCGCATTTCTGAAGAAAAATGGCCCTATCCTGATCATGATCGGCGGAGAATGGGAGATAACGAATGGATTTTTGCAAAGTGGACTGATGTACGAACTCGGCGTAAAATACCACGGTTTGATGTATTACACCGAACATCGGTTCTATGGACAGAGCAGACCAACGAAGTATGTAATCCGTAGCGCTTTCCCCATAGCAAAAAAGGTCACGGTAACATCACAGTAAAGTCATGGTGACGTGCGAATGTCCATTTTGTCACAAGTGTGACGGTGTGACATCATAGCAGAGTCATAGTGACGTGCAAATTTCTGTTTTGTCACATGTGTGATATCGCTATCATTATGAAGCTGTGATAAAAATTGCACTTCACTGTGACACTCCCATATACTGTGGTATTCACAGATTAAGATAATGACGTAATATCACTTTGACTTTTTGATAATCTCATATAACACCACAATTTATTCGTGATTGTAGTAGGGAATGAAGTTACTTTTCCGTTACTTTTACAGTTACTTTTTATATAGTAACAATTTCATAATAAAATGTTGCAATTTTTTATGACTGTAATAATGAATAAACGCTGAGGTTACGCTAAAATTAGAAAAGTCACTATTACTCGTTACTTATTGAAAAAAAGTAATAAATAACGTTACAAGTTACATTAAAAAGTGACGATTTACAAATTGCGAATTATTTTTTCAGTAATGAATGATCTTTCTAACCCGTTATAAGTAATTATTGACTGTATTAAACTAAGAATCTCTCATATAGGACTATAAATCTAAGTATACAATCAATAAGAGGTAAATGCCTTTTAACGATCCAGCTGATGGATCTTAAGTGCTTGTATAATTCTATGTAAATTCATATACTACGTACATATGTAGTCCTTTAAATTGTAGGATAAAATGATTTTTCGGTCTTGAAACGCAAACTCCACTGAACAACTACCGCAGTAATATCACAAGTTAAATTGACACTATAGCAATTTAATAATTCGAAGCTCATAAGCATCTTAGAACGATTAATAATGCTGAATAATATATTAAAATCTGTAAACAATTTTATTACGAAAAATATAACTATTCCAACTCTGGTATTATATTATCATCATAAAAAATTCTCAACGTCATTATCAAATTGTTATTACAAGGTAATTAAGTAATTAACTAACGACAATTACAGTAACTAATTACTTCCATTCCCTAAATTATAATAAGTCTATTGTAATATAAATGTGACCCTTTTGCTATGAGAGTTCTTTATCATTTGACATTTAAAACCGATCTTTTAAATTGATATTGCACGATACAAATTTAGAGACATTAGCACGGAGAATTTACAATACTTAAACGCCGACCAGGCACTCGCCGATCTTGCTTATTTTATTGAAACGAAAAAAAAGGAAAAGAACTTAGAAAAGAGTACCGTAATAGTAGTTGGTGGCTCTTATGCTGGAAATATGGCGGCGTGGGCACGCCTCAAATACCCCCATCTCATCCAAGTATTATTTATATTATTTTCTTATTTATATATTTGTATCTTAAAGATAGAGAGGCATTAGTAAATTAGAGAAAAATATTTTTCACAGGGAGCCTTAGCCAGCAGTGCTCCGGTTCGGGCAAAGGCTGATTTTTATGGTAAATTATTTGATCGCGACTGCAGATAATCCCTAAAAATATTACTAAAATTACTTGATTTTATAGAATATTTCGAGGTCGTGACAGATGCGCTCGGCAAATATAATAAAAAGTGCGTTGAATCTGTTAAAACTGCATTCGCATCGGTAGAGGAATTATTAGCCATGCGAGCCGGTCCACATAAACTGAAACTTCTCTTCAAGTAAGCTTAAACATGATTTGGAATCCACATGCTATTTGTTAATTTGCACTCGGACAATAAAGTAAAGAGGAAAAATAATTTATAATAATCAGAAATTATAATTTTTTATTATTATTAATTTTTTAAATATTAATATCGAGTTTAGATTATGTCAAGTGCCTGACGTAAAATCTCCTAGTGATCTTGGTTACTTCATGAATACGCTGTCAGAGGTACGTGAATAATTGAAGATATTGCTCCATCTATTTCTATTCATTTTTATTTGACCTTTAGATATTTGCCGGAGTCGTTCAGTATAATAAAATCGAGAACAGTGAAACGAGAATCGCAGTATTGTGTAATAAAATGACAGCTAAGCATTTAGGCAGCCCCCTACAGAGACTCGCGCGCATCTTTTCGAATCAGGACAAGTGTAACGATGTA